AAGAGCCCCCTTCTAAGTTTGCTGTATGCCCCATATGTGTTTTTTTCTGCTGCCAAGGGATTACTTTTGCTAGCAGGTCTGGACAGATGACCACATGGCAAAAGTCATCCAGCAGCCCAGAGTTCCTTTCCGGCTGTAGCGAGTGAGCAGTGTGGAGGATCAGATCTGTGGAAGGAGATCAGATGGACTCTCATCAGCTCGGTTTTCTAAATAGATAGGGCAAAGGCTTCCAGATTTTAGAAGTTAAACAGCTGTCAACCAGTCTCTGAAGGAAGCTCAGCCCAGGGCACTGTGATTCTGTCACGTCATCAAGGTTAAGGGTTATCTTTGTTTCCTTGTCTGTGAAAAGGTCAGACCAGATGATCCTGCAGGTCCCTCTGGCTCTACACTCTAGAGGTTATAATGATTCACACTCTTGTGTGTGCACACGCTGACATCTGAGAGGGAAGTTACACTCTCTGTGCCACTTCCAAAGGCTGTTATGGTATCATTTACCTTCTTTTTTAGCCCCCAAAAGTTACCATACTCTTACTGTCTTAAAAGCCAAGAAGTCATAATTTAGGTCATCCCTGAGGTGCAGAATTCCCTTTGTCCACTTCCTACAGAGGTGGCTCCTGGGAAGCAGGAAAATTTGACTGGGGGATGGGAGGGTGGGGAGCTGGGGTTCTGAAGAGCAGACTCCAGATCAAAGCTCGGGCACTAAGTACAGCTCCTGGAGAAGTGGACACCAAGGTGACCTTTTTAACCGGAGAGACATGGTCGCCATTTAGAAAGAGCAGGTTGAATTCCTGAACCAATACCCAGCTGGGTGGTAGGGAAAGGAGGGCGTCAGAGGTAGGCCCAACCAGTCGAGACAAAATGTGGTTTATCAATTATCTGGTTTAAAGTCACACATCCTGTTAAGAAGATGACTAATCTAGCATTTAGGGCTAAGAACATGATTTGAGGTGGGGCAAGGATCCCACTCAAGGCTGCAGGTACTTCAGACACTAATTGATAAGGACCTAAGTTATATGTGGAAACTCCGTAACAATGTGTAAGAATAAGGATCAGAAATTGATCTGAGTTGTTTCCAATTTTGGAAAACACATGATGGTCACTCAATTATTAACCCATTTAGGATGTTTCTAAGTTGACTGATCACCTATCACCACCTAGTCATCTAGCAAAACCTTGACCTTCACCTGTTTTCATAAAACAGATTGTGAGATTCTACAAAGCCTCATCCCAAAAGATATTTTCCAGGACTGAGGCCATTAAGAGTTTAAAACATTCTTGACAAGCAGACACACTGATCTCTAGATAAGGAAACGTCGCTGTGGTTGTGGTTGTCGCTCACAAACTGGGGCTGTGAAGCCACCAACCTACTGAATTTCCTGAAGCTGCGCTCTCAGTCTCGTTCAGAGGCAAGTTGTGAATGTTTTCTAGAACTCGTTGAGAGAAACGATCTTTTTCTTGTTTGTAGGATACTTTAAGGAAAATTATTTTAAAGTGGTGTAATGTAAACAAGAACGTAATTACTATTTGTTTCATGACATTTATTTATATACAAGGCTATACGGAAGGATTTTTGCAAACCTTTGTAAAGGTACTATGTCATAAAGTCAGAGTTAGGTTTTGAATCACAAATTTATTATAAAATATACCAATCTAATAAATGTGTTGTAGTTGGTTTTCTAATATTTGTATGCTAAAATGTGACAAGCAAAATAGAAAAATAGTCACATCCAGTAAGGGAGAAAAGTTTGGAATTAACTGCTGCAGATCTTAGACCATCGGCGCCCCTCGCCTGGCCCAGAGGTGACTTGGTGTTAGCCCTTAAGAGGGAATATGCCAGGTGGTGGTGGGGAGACCATTGCTAGTTCTAGGAAACACTTTTGTTAACCAACTATGTATTCTGAATTATAAAAGAAATTCATAACTCTAAGTTGTTTTCAAAGAATAAGTTTCTATAGGTGTAAACAGCAAGTACAAGATCTATAAATGAAAAAGAGTGGCTGGAAAATCTTAGCAAAACTAATTCTCCCTGGACAGGTGCCTTTACTTGGGCATTTCTGAGCCCTCTGGGGAGATGAGGGGCAAAGTCAACCTTGCCAAGTAACCATTAGGTCTCTACTGGTCAAGAGGAAGGGGAAAAATTCATCACAAGGATGGCCTTGGAAAGGAATGTTTCAATCATTAGTGGTATTTGGTTTTTCTTGCAATTAAGAAACTGGTGGGAGGAATGAGAATTTTAAGGGAAAGGTTTTGCACATCTTTGCTTATTGGAAAAATGCTTTAATTTTATTTGATTTACTCTCCAGCTGAGTCTGGCGAGAATAGCTGAGTTAATTCATCCCTTTAAAATCCTAGGCTTAAGCCAAGGGGTTCTGGATCCTGGAGCTTCCTCCAGTACTTTCTCTCTTTCTCTCCCTCTTTCTGGGGAACTCGGAAGGGGTGGGCGTGCTTCTTATGGGGGGAACCATGCCAGTGCAGGAACCTGGAAGCACCAAAGTGTTGTCACAGTTATCTATTGCTTCCTCCTCCATCATCTTGATATTTTTATAAAGAACAAAGAGCCCTCTTCCTAAAATAGGTGATAATTCTTGCTCTAATCAAATGTGCCCACCACTGAAAAGGAGTGCCAGTTAATCACCTTCCTTTGAAACTCAATCATATGACCAGACATAGATGTCAAGTATCCCAACAACCAAACGTTTTAATATTCTCTCCTATCTTCCCTGCTTATTTACAAAATCCAAGCTTTTCTCTGTAAGCAAAAACATGTGAGAAAGTTCAAAATGCTCTCTCATACCATCCCAGTGGCTTCCTGATTATAAAAGGAACTCACACAATTACTGATTGAAAAGTCCTTCAGGACAGAACTTGTGGGGAGTGGCAGGGACGTGGTTGGTATATGGTGGGGACATTGTGGGGATGTGGTAGGGTGGGGCTCCCTGCAGGAGGCATATCTGGGCCTTGGGGCCCCTGAGGCCCAGTGGACTGTCCTTGAGCTGAGGATCCACCTCAAGCAGTCAACTGTGAAAAAGTGGCAGGGGTACCTTGGCTTGTTGGCTGGCTCCAGCAGCTCGAGGGTGCAAAGGGACATCGTGAGTTTCAGTCTGCTGTTTAGCAAAGTTCACAAATACCTGGAGGGAAGAGAAGAGCAAGTAGGTAGATGTTTCCAGAAAAATGGTACCCTGCACCCACCTACCCACTCCGCTTTCTCTTTTCCACAGCCCTGCTGGAGCAGCTTATGTTCTATAGGAGGGGAGGCTGGCCCACCTGAGGAAGCCCGGCCACCAGGTCCCTGAATAGGGCTTGTTTCTTAGAATTCTGAGCTAAGCCAAAGGAGTTCTTGTGGGAGGATTCAAGGGACTTGGGGCACCAGGGTTTGGGGTTAACAAAGCAAGGCAGATTCTCAGCTAGCAGTGTCCTCCTAAACCTCCTCAGAAGAAACTAGAAACAAAGCAAAACAAGAATCTGATCTCTTCTCTTTTCTGTTCCTTATTCAGGTGCAGTGTGACCGTGCCTCCCGCTCCTGACTTCATCTGCTATGGCTGACAAGAAGGTGCTGGTGAGCCAGCTCCTCCAAGGGGACATGGAGACTTGCCTATTTCCCTGCTTTACTGAACGTTCTTTAAGGATGTTTATTTACAACAAACAAACAAACAGCAACAACAAATAACCCCCGGAAAAACTAAATGTCTAAATGGATGAATGGATAAGCAAAAGGGGGCATACACACACAATGGAGTATTACTCAGCATTTAAAAGAAGGCTATTCCAACACATGCCACAAGGCGGATGAACCTTGAGGACATTACATTCGAGAGATGAATAATTTCTGGAGATAGATAGTGGTGATGGTTGCACAACAGTATGAATGTACTTAATGCCACTAAATTGTACACTTAAAAATGATTAATTCTGTTATATATATTTTACTACAATAAAAAAAGTTATCACACTAAAAAACCTGACAGGGGCCGGCCATCTGGCCGAGTGGTTAAGTTCGTTCATTCCACTTCGGTGGCCCAGGGTTTTGCCGGTTTGGATCCTGGGTGTGGACATGGCACCACTCATCAGGCCATGCTGAGGCAGCGTCCCACATAGCACAACCAGAGGCACTGACAACTAGAATGTACAACTATGTACTGGGGGGCTTTGGGGAGAAAAAGAAGAAGAAAAAAAAAAAGATTGGCAACAGATAGCACAGGTGCCAATCTTAAAAAAATAAATAAAAATAAAAAACCTGACAAATGGCACACACATTTTCCAAACCTCACCAAATTGTACACTTTATTATTTTAATGTATTTATTTTAATGCTCTTTATTTTTTATTTTATTTTATTTTTTGAGGAAGATCAGCCATGAGCTAACATCTGCTGCCAATCCTCCTCTTTTTGCTGAGGAAGATAGGCCCTGAGATAACATCTATGCCCATCTTCCTCTACTTTATACGTGTGACACCTGCCACAGCATGGTTTGACAAGCAGTGGATAGGTCCGTGCCTGGGATTCGAATCGGCAACCCCAGGCCACTGAAGTGGAGCATGTGAACTTAACCACTGTGCCACTGGGCTGGCCCTGAATTGTACACTTTAAATGGCTGCATTTTATTGTATGTAAATTAAGCATCAGTAAAGTTGATTTGAAAAGAGTAAAAAGGCACCACCTCAAACCAGGAAGGATGAAATGAAATCATAGTGTAGTGGGGAAGGATGATGTAAAGTCAATGAGGTTTGCCAATGACTAAAATACTGTTAAAAAACAATTTCTGATACACCAAGTTTTACCCTAACGGACAGAGGGACAACAGGGTTAAAAATCAGGCATGTCATGTGGATTCCAGCTCAGGCTGGGCGTTCAGCCCAGTCTGCACAGCTCCGCCTCTGCACGTGGTGCCCCTCAGATGACTCGCCTGGTCCAGCGTGGTCTGCGTGACCGAGTACTCCTCGATGAGCAGGCTCTCCTTGTGGGAGAGGAGCAGCCGGAAGATCCTGGCCAGGGAGGAGGAGGAGACCTGGAACTGGAGCATGTTGTAGTGCCTCTCCCTCTGCACGCTGCCCGGGAAGTTCCCCTGGAAGAACTGTTCGACGGGATTCAGGTCGGGAAGCAAGTCGTCCTTAGGGGATTTGATTTTCATGGTGACAATGTAGCCATCTCCAAACCTAGGGGATGCAAACGGCAGTGCGGGGTATAGGCCTGTTAGTAGTTGGGTCTAAGGCAATCCAGAAATAAGGAATAGACTCATCAAAATATTGGGGATTAAAGGCCCATACTATAGACCTCATGTGCATGTTTAAAACTAGGAGAAAGGGGGCCGGCCCCACGGCCGAGTGGTTAAGTTTGTGCTCTGTTTTGCTGGCCCAGGGTACACCAGTTCAGATCCTGGGTGCAGACCACACATGGCTCTTCAAGACATGCTGTGGCAGCATCCCACATAGAAGAACTAGAATGACTTACAACTAGGATACACAACTATGTACTAGGGCTGTGGGGAGAACAAAAGAGGAAGATCGGCAACAGATGTTAGCTCAGGGCCAATCTTCCTCACTAAAAAGCATACCTTTAAAAAGGAAAAAGACTAGGAGAAAGAAACCCACAATAGTTCCTGAAGAAATAGTTTGATACTAGTTTTTGGCAGTCTAAATGCCTGGGGAGCCAGTGCTGATGGTCTGGCAGTTAAGATTCAGCACTCTCACCACTGCGGCCCAGGTTCATTTCCAATCAGGGAACACCACCACCCATCTGTCAGTTATTATACCATCTGTTGTTTGTCCTACTGTGGTGGCTGAGTGCTGCCGTGATGCTGAAAGTTATGCCACTGGGATTTCAACGTCCACCCATGGTAGATAGGTTTCAGCAGAGCTTCCAGACTAAGACAGACTAGGAAGAAGGAACTGGCCACCCACTTCTAGAAAAATTGGCCATGAAAACCCTATGAATAGCAGTGGAGCATTGGCTGGTATAGCACCGGAAGGTGAGAGGATGGCGCAAAAAGACTGGCAGGGTTCCGCCCTGCTGTACACAGGGTTGCTAGGAGTCAGAATAAACTCGACGGCACTAACAACAACAAATGTCTGTGTGGTGAAGTGGGTCACCAGACCTGTGTCATAGCTTCCTGTGTCCAACATGGATGTTCCCTGCTCCTTTCCCTTTAAATATTTGCTGAAGTCAAAGGCGGTTTTAGCCTAGGGAGAAGGTGTCCTGATGGTGTGTTGGGCCAGTGCTTACTCAGTCATAGAAAGAGACCTTAAGAGACTGGCCAGTTGGTAGTAAAGCTTGGGAAGGCAGCACTTCCCTGTGGAAGCTTCCAGAACAAATGGAGCTGTCAGGGCCAGGGTCATCAGTGCTTCTCTCCCCTTCTCACCAGGTGAGCTGGTCACCTGCAGGTGGATGAAGAATGGTCCTCCAGAGAGTGTGTGCACGGCCTGCTGGCGTCCCTATACACTTATGTCAGGGTATACTGTGTCAGTTGCAATTTCTTTCGATGCTTCCTCCTTGATCAAGGGATGTTCCCCCTACGATAAAATTCCTTTACCTTTCAGCTCTGGAATATTGACTGTCCCTGCATGTGGGGAGTTCTCCCCTCTCCCCTGCTCTACCATTGGGATATTGAGAAAAGAGAGGGAAGGGAGTAGGGAACATCCACGTCTCCAGCAGTTGGACACAAGGAGTTGCTGACACAGGTCTGGTGACCTCACATGCTAAAGTCCCCCTAGATATCTGTGCAGTGTCCGAGCTGTAGTTGCTAAAGAAATCAGGGGTCAGGGGCTGGCCCCGTGGCCGAGTGGTTAAGTTCGCGCCCTCCGCTGCAGGTGGCCCAGTGTTTCGTCAGTTCGAATCCTGGGTGCGGACATGGCACTGCTCATCAAACCACACTGAGGCGGCGTCCCACATGCCACAGCTAAAAGGACCCACAACTAAGAATATACAACTATGTACCGGGGGGCTTTGGGGAGAAAAAGGAAAGAATAAAATCTTTAAAAAAAAAAAACTGTAATTAAAAAAAAAAAACCAGGGGTCAAATACCCAAACACAGCTAATCTGCTGGACCTTTCTCTCCATCATTTATCTGCTCTGATGCATATGAAGGATGCTGTGTACTATGCACCACCCTCCCATGGGCCCCTCAAGATTAAGCATCTTGATATAGACAAGGTGGGTTATGTGCTGTTCCTTTTGCCAACTAGCATGGTGACTTCTACATTCTGGACTCTCAAAAAGTGTTTGTTAAATAAATGAGTGATAACCATAAAACATTTCCTAATTTATAAAGCATATCAGATTGCAAGGGAGGGTGGCATTATTATCATAATCTTGTTTTAACTGATAGCTTTGACACACAAACTATTATTAATAATGCATTGTTTACAACTTAGGGGGACAGGATAATCTTACTGAAGACTACTGGAATTGCTGGTTTGTTGTATAATACTGGTCATTTCTCAAACTCAAAAGCATACAGCATGCCAGAAAGGAAAACTGACTCTCAGGCTGTTTGGACCCCTTATCATTCCTATGTTGGTTGTGGACTCTAATCAAATAGGTCATTGGTCCTGGATCCGTTGGGATAAGTGGTGGGATAATGAGGCAATGGTGGTGACCCTTCCTTATCCCAGCCAGGCTCTGCATACATCCCAATAAGAAACCCCCATCTGGAGACTTGGAGAGCCTTCAACCACAATTGGGCAATTAGCCCAATATAAAGGAGTTTCTTTCAGCACAACAGAGTTTTCCATCTGCTGCTGCAGAATGAGGCCCGGCTACCATCTGCTTCTGCTCGTGGGAGGGCAGCAGGACACTCCCAAGTGTCAGCAGAGAGCACAGGGCCTGGTTGACCCCTCTCCCAGGAAGGTAATAAAGGGCCCCCCCAACCCCCCACATCTCCTTACTTGTACTTGAGGTGCTGAATAGTGCCCAGACACTGAAAGGAGCCCTTCACCATGATGGCCAGCCGGGTACACAGGGCCTCACATTCTTCCATGCTGTGGGCAGGACAGAGAGTGAGGGCTGTGGAGGACTCCTGCCTGCCACCGGCTCCACCCCAGTCCCTGGGAATCTCTTGCCTGTGGGATGTGAGGACCACAGCCCTCCCTTCTCGGATGATGCTCACGATGGTGTTCCACAGCATGCGGCGTGCCTGGGGGTCCATGCCTGTGGTGGGCTCATCCTGTGGGGAGGCAGAGGGGGCAGGGGCAGGGCTTGGAGCCGGCCTCTCCTGGCTACTGCACCCTCCTTGGCTGACTCCCTCCAAGCAGCTCTGCTTTATGGCAGATGCTGCTCAAAGTCACTCCCAGTGGGGTGAGACCCAGGGTACCCAGTACAGGGTACAGAAGGCAGGAGGTGGACCAGGAGAGTAAAGACACAACATGCACATCTCTAGACTCATTTCAGCCCATAAATGGATTAAGGTTAATGAAGACAATGGTAGAATTACCTTAAAAAAGAAAAAAAAAAAAACTCCTACACCTATGTTTGCAAGGAGGCCAGGAGATAGCTCAGATGACTTTTCTGGTTCCCTCCAAGTCCTGCAACCCATGCCTTCATAAACCCAGGGCACCTGGGGCCTCCAGCCTGGCCTGGCTCCTGTGAGAGTCACATGAGCCTTTGATCCAGGCCAACGTTCCTGTCCTCTTCAGATCCTGAACAGACCTCCTCGGGCAGTAGTAATTTCTGACCCAACACTGACATTTCCGTAGAGGGGTTGAACATTCTGCTGTGGGCCTGTGGCCCCACAAGAGACTTCCCAGGAACTCAGAGTGAGCATGTGCTATGACTCCAGTTTCCCCCAAGAGCTGTGAAGAACAATGGGCTGAATCACTCAAAACGAGCAGTATAGGGGGCAGCCCAGACAACAACAGTTGGCTGCATTTTCCAAATCTGCCAACCCAGCCACAGAGATGCAGCTCCCCGTTCAAGCCCTTGGGCCCGCCTGTCCCCACAGGTCGCAGTGCCCCTCACCAGCAGCACCAGCGGTGGGCAGCCTATCAGGGCAATGGCTGTGGAGAGTTTGCGCTTATTGCCCCCACTGTAGGTGCCGACCAGGCGGTCTGCGTAGAGAGACAGGCCCAGGCTCTGAATACACCACTTTGCAACCTAGGGGAGAGAAAGGAATCCCATTTGAGAAAGACAAACAAGCAAACACCCCAAACCTCCACCGATTCAAAGTCTTGGGTTCCCAGATTTCCCACATCCAGGATGACAGACCCAGCTAGGCTGCAGCAGGGCCACCTGCTGGCTCATGTTCTCTGGAACATGCTTCAGGGACCAGGTATCTCCTGTCCACTGTGTGCCTTAGATCTCGGTGTGCCTTGGTCAGCTCAGCACCCGGTGGGTGCAGCCCCCTGAGAACTGGCCTTCAGCTTTACAAAGAGCAAGGCAGTGCTTCTAGCCCAGTGTCCAGGACTATGCTGGGAGGGGAAGAGGAAGAGTTCTAGGGTCTATTTGAAAAGATCGTGGGTCCCCTTGATTTCATCCCTGAACAGGGTCACATTTGAGGTCTTGTACATCACATGCATACTTATTGAGCACCCACTATGAGCCAGGCGCTGTACTAGGCACTGGAGAATAATGATGCACATAACCAGTGACCTTGTACTCACAGACGGTGGGGGCAGTGACAGACAACCAAAATAAACAGAATAATCACAGATTATAACAGTGCTTTGAGGGGACTCAACAGGGAACCATAGGTGTGAGCGTGTGTGTGTGTGTGCATGTGCACACGCGTGCACAGGAGCAAAACTAGGGAAGTCATTGGAGACAAGCCTACAATGCTGCTGACTTCTGCACTTGTACCTCTGCCTGGAATGTTCTTTCCCTAGACATCCACACTGCTGGCTCCCTCTTTCAGCTCCTTTTGTCTTCACTCAGGAGTCACCTCCTCTGTGAGGTCTGCCCTGGACCACCCTACCTACACATGCAAACCCCACCCCAACAATTCTTCTCTGCTCTTTTTCTCCCTCAAGGACTTTTCACTCTCAATTGTACTGTGTGTTTTTTACTTCGTTATCTAATTATCGTCTATTCCTCCCACTATAATGTAAGCTCCATTTTTAACTTTTTCTTTGGAGATAGTTTCAAACTTACAGAAACACGTAAGAAATAGAGTAGTACAAAGAACACTCACAAACTTCTTTCTCTCTCCCTCTCTTATACACATACACATTTTTTCAGATCCATTTGAGAGTAAGTTCTACATCATGGTCTTTCTCTCCTAAATACTTCAGTGTATATTTCCTAAGAATAGGGATATTCTCTTACATAACCACAGTACAGGTATCAGTGTCAAGAAATTTAACATTGTTATAATATTTTAATCTAATCTACTCTTCACAGTTCAGTTTTGTCAACTGGTCCAATAACGTTCTTCATCCCATTATTTCTCTCCAGTCCCAGATGCGGTCTAGTGTCCCTTATTCAGTCACTGTGTCTACTTGGCCTCTTGTGACCAGGAACATTTCCACAGCCTTTCTTTGTCATTTATGACTTTGATACTCTTGAAGAATACAGTTCCTGAATTTTTTTTTAATCGAATGTTCTTCCTTTGGAGTCTGTCTGATGTTTCCCCCTAAGATTCAAGTTATACATTCCCAATCAGAATATTCCATAGGTAAAGCTGTGTCCTTCTTAGGGTGTCACATCTAGGGGCATGAGATGGCCATCTGCCCCTAGTGGGTCAGTTAATTTTGATCATCCAGTTAAGTTTTTGTCTAATTTCTCCATTATAAAATTATTATTATGCTTCTCCATTGAAACCAATAAGCAATTTGTAGAAGATAATTTTAAACCATACAAATATCTTGCTTCTTATAAAAAGTTTCCCCTAGATTTAGCAACCATTGATGATTCTTATGCAATCCAATCTTTACTATGGTCATTGCAAAATGATTTTCCAATTCTAGAACGTCCTCCATACTAAACAGTTGGGTCTCAGCATTTGACTGTAAGCAAGAACACTCCCTTCTCTCCTGATTATCTATTTAACAGAATGGACTTGTGAATTCCTACTTTTCTCCCAATGTTTTATAATTTATCATGGTATTTAATTATTTTGATGCTCAAATTGTCCCATATTTGGTCACTGGGAGCCCCTTCAAGATGGCTCCTGTGTTCTTGTGATATGCTCCCACCATTTTTTTAAAAGCACTTTTTAACTTTCTGGCATAATAAGATGTTCCAGGCTCATTTTATGCCTATGATGATCCAGCCCTGAAATCTGTCATTTATCTGAGGAGTCACGGTTCCTTTGGGTGGGGAATAATATTAGAGAACAAAATCTGGGCACTAAGTGTGCTCATTGCCACTAGGATATTTTTGCTTCTTGGCCCTTTCAGAGGACACTTATATGCATACACAAACATACACACGTACATATCCATGCCTATGTGCAATATCCATGAACACATATACACGCATGTACAAACACATGCATACAAATGTTTCATGAGTTCACAGTGAGATCTCCAATTCCAATCCATCCCACAGGGTTCTTTTCAGCTTTATTGCTTTCCATATTTGCATGTCCCTTCATCCACAGTGAGGACTCTGGTTCCCAACCTCATTAACACATTTATTCATTTACTTAGTCCTATAACACACCTAAAATTATTTCAGAATTGCTTTGCCCATGCCACTATAAAAAATATTGGCCAACAAGAGCTCAGAATTTGTTTGTAGATCTTTGCCTCTGTTCTACCTGCCCAAGACTGAGGATATATAGTCAAATACTGTGTCATTAGTTATTTTTATTAGTTCTTTTCTTCCCCTTCTGTGTAATATTTATTTGAATAAAATTGGATTAATTTGTTTCAGTTTTCTTTCAGTGGTTAGGATTTTCTTTTTGTTTTCATTTTTACCCCCTTCCTATTCTTATTGATTTACTTTTATTTTTTGAATATGTAGAACATTAATATGCTTCCAAAAGTCAAAACTATATGAAGTGATATCCTGAGAGAAGTGTTATTCCTTCCCATTTCCCTCTTGTTGATCACCAAATTCATTGTTTCCAGGTTTATCCTTCCAACTTTCTATATGTAAAGGTAAGCAGACATATGGATGCTTTCTTATTTTTCCCACTTTCTTACATTAAAAAGCAGCATTCTACATGTGCTCTTTTGCACTTTGTTTTTTTCACTTAACAATATCTCTTGGAAAATAATTCCATATCAGTTCCCAGAGATTTTCCTTGTTCTTTTTTTTGTTTGTTTTACAGTTGCATAAGACTTTATCGTGTATATGTTCCATAAATTATTCAATCAATCTCCTATGCCTGAACATTTAGGTAATTTCCAATATTTTGTGACTACAAATACAATGAATAACGTTGTGCATGTGCATTTTGTTCTGTGGGAGGTTTATCTTCAAGGTAAATTCCCAGAAGTGGGATTGCTGGATCGAAGGGTAAATGTATATATCATTTGGTTATATACTAGGGCAGGGATTTCTTGTTTTGTTCTTTGCTATACCCCATCTTCTAGAACAGTACCTGAAACATAGTAGACCCTCAGTAAGCATTTGTTGAAAGAACGAATGGATAGCATGTTCCAGCTTTCCCAAATCTAAATAAATGCACTCTCATGAAACAGGCTTATGGTTTACCAAACTCCTGAGTGGCCATTACAAACCATTTTTTACCTTCTCGATTTTCTCTGCTGGTACACCTCGAAGCCGGGCATAAAGATACAGATGTTCTCGCCCTGTGAGCAGGTCATCAATTGCATCAAACTGAGGACAGTAGCCCATACTTTGATGCACGTCAGAAATATTGGTCAAAATACTGCAAAAAGAAAAAGCAATTAGTAAGTTTCCTTCATAGGTGGAGGTGCCTGAGAGCTGGGCCTGGAGAAGCTTCTGCCAATGGGATAAGAGAGCTGCCTCTTCTCTTTTCCCACTTTGTTTCAGAAATGTGTACAACATTTAGGAATGAAAGCAGGGGCCTTTGGTTAGAAACCGATGAACTTCAGGAGTTCTGAGCTTTGAATCCAGTCAGATCCTCCTCAGTTTCCCTGTCTAGGATAAATTGAACACCTGTTATCCAAAGTCAGCTTTGGTTTTGATTGGATCACCTCATATGTGAGTTTAAAAACCAAGGGAAGATCAGGTTTAAGAACATGATCAGTGGTTTTTGATCTCTTTCAGACATTTGGGAAGTAGCCAGAGAAGATGCATCCTTCCCAATGGAAGTAAACTTCTCCGTCTGTATTTACTGGCAGAGATACGGTCAATGAAAGAGGAACCAATCAGATCAACACCCAGAGCAAGAGGCTCCCAGAGAGAAGAGATGAAGTGAATTAAGTTCTATCAACTCCCTTTGACTAACATATTCTCCCTCACTAGAAAATATATTGCCTTGATGAAAAAATAAACTGTCCATAGGCTGGTCTAATCTCTTCCCCCTCCCCTTATACCCTAGGATCTATGAATAAAGGATGGATGTAATAGGAGGGGACAGAGAGAGGTCAAGCAGTCCCTCACTATGACAAAAATGACTTCAGCTATGGCTGGACCAATTAACACCACCCAGGGAAGCAAGGAGGGTACTTTGCCAAATTCACAGGAGCTGCCCCACCAGAGAACCCCAATCCTGTGTCTTGAACCTATAGTTTCTTTTTAGTTTCCATCTTAGTTTTACCTTCTGGGCATCAGACTTGATGTCTCATGGCAAATCCTATTACATCCCCCTGCCCTCCACCCTCTGATCTCCCAAGACTCCTTTTGTTACCATCATGAAGTCATTTGCTTGGTTGTAGGCTAAGCGGTGACCTTGCTGCACCCCTGCTAGTCCCAATGCTCTAGACCAAACAGGGATGGTTGGGGAAGGCCAGAGAATCAAATTCATTCTGTCCAAGCCTGTGAAGTAGGCTCAAGACTCCCCCTGCCTCATGGGTATTGGGCCTTGTTGAGGATGGCTCTCAGGTGAGGGAAGGAGGCCCCAGTCAGGCAGATGCTGGGCAGACGTCAGCAGTGCCTAACTCCACTTATAAACCAGGGCAGAGGGTTTCTCTGGGCACATCTAATGTGTGAGCTTTGGTGTTAAAGGAGCATCCTGGAAAGAGGTGTGAGCTCATGTTCTCCATCCTGTCCCATAGAGGAGCAGTCTATTTATTCACACGTTATTACAGAGAGCAGTAGGCCCACTCCAGAATCCAAGGGCATATGCCAGTTTTCCTTTTATAAAGGTTCCTTGGCCTAGCAAAGCCAAGCATCAGCACAGAGATAGTCAATGCAGATTAAGGTCCTCAAGGGCCCTTGAAGCAACCCCTATCTAGAAACTTGACCCAGAGAAATGATGCTTCAACACACGGGTTCTTAACCCGGGACCCAGGGGTCCTTCCATAAACCATAAATGTGTTTCAGGGCTCAGTAAATGGCCTGAAACTCTTTGCCAAAATGTGTGGAGTGGGGTAATAGTGGGCAATGGTGTATTTTTATAGGAAGAAGTTCAAGTGTTCATCAGATACTCAAAGGAGTCCATGAACCCCCAAAAAGTAAGAACCACTGTCTTAGTGCTTCCCAGAACTTTCCAAGAATCCACGTTAACAGAGGAATCTCTTAACAATCACAGTTCAATTCAATTTTCCAGAGGGTCTCTGTCTTGGACTTTTTGGACCATGCTTGCTGGGAGGTCTACTCTTCAGCACAGATCTTTCACGCTCTCAGAGTCACCCTCAGACACAGGGTCTGATGCTCATTCTCCCTATGCTGGGATGGGACATGGCCCAAAACTTTCAGAGATATCCTGAGACAGGATGAGCAAGACACTCACCTCTTGCCTGCTACAGTGGCATCGCCTGAGGTCACTGTAGTGTCCCCAGTGAGCATCTTGAATGTGGTTGTTTTCCCAGCTCCATTCACTCCCAGGAGGCCAAAGCACTGTGGGAGAACACACAGAATTGGCCTCACCCTAGAGCCCAAGAAGGTCCGGAGTGTCAGGCCCAGGGCAAATGTGTGGGTTGGGGGTAGGCATTTTAGACCTGTGCTGCCATTACAGAGGCCACTAGATAGCCACATGTGGTGTACAGTAGCAGAATATGCCACCCTAAAATATGCCACTTTGCCATAAGGATGATTTTGAGGTGAAGGCAATTGAGAAGAAGCAGGTACAAAAAGTTCTCTACCGCCTCCCCCAATTCGCCTCAAAGCAGGACATAAACTTACAAGGTGTTCCCTTCCCCTCTATACAAGGAAGGACAGGAGCAAATCAGTGGAGACAACTCTAGACCCTTATCAGCCTGGAGGCGGCACCAGAGGAATCTACATAACAAACTTTAACAACTAGCCTTTATTCACATTAGTTCCCCAGATATTTGCCTTCCCACAATTTCCGACCCTAGAAACTCAAAGTCCCTTTCCTTTGTCTTGTCACTTCTCTAAAAATGCATTGTCCCTTTGCTAGGATGCTATCTAAGCCCAAGTTCTAACCACCCCTTTGAGTCATTCCTCTCCCCTGTGTACGTGTGATGTGCATGCTAACACACTTCTCTTTGTTTTTCTCTTCTTAATCTGTTTTTGTCAGTCTGATTTACAGAGCCCCAGCCAGAGAACCTAGGAGGGGAGTAGGAAAGAGAATTTTTCCTCCACTACAGTGGCTGCTGAGCACTTGAAACACGTCAAGTCTGAATTGACATGTGCTGTAAGTGTAAAGCACACCCTGGATTTTGAAGAACAACAACAAAAAAAGGGATGTAAAATATCTCATTAATAATGTTTTATATGAATTACGTGTCGAAGTGATAATATTTCAGATATATTGGATAAAATAAATGATTAAGATTAATTTCACCTGGTTTTGCTTTCTTCCTGGGGCTACTGAAATATTTAAAATGACTATAGTGGCTTGTGTTTTACTTCTATTGGGTAGCTCTGCTTCTGAGGGGAGAAGAGACGTGCACAGGAGCTGATTTTCTGAAGCCCTTTTGTGTGGGGTCTGCAGAGTACCCACCTCTCCAGGGCGGACTCCCACACACAGTCTGTCCACTGCTGGGCTGGAGGTGCCTGAGTAAATCTGCAAGACCCAGAGAAACTGGACTGAGGACTGAGAGAGGGCTAGAGCAGGGAGGGCAAGAGAGCAAAGGACGGTTTAGGTGAAAACTGCCAACATGAGGAGGTTACATATGGACACGGGTGTTCAGAAGGGTGCTATGAGCACTGAGAAATCTCAGAGCTGACCCGCTGTGCAGAAAAGGAATGGAGAAAGGCTATTGGTGCTCAGTTGGAGTGGCTCTTGCTGAGCCCGTCAGTACCCAAGATGAATGCTGGGGAAAATGCATAGGAATTAGATGTTCTTGGAAGACAAGTGACAAGACAGAGATGACAACTCCACATAAAATTAGAAAAATGAGTTGCTTGCATAGGCATATCGCTTATTCTACAGAAGGCAAATTACAACGTCATGCCATCTCTGGGTCCAACTGGCACCTCCAAAGGAACACACCTATTCCCTTACCTTGGTTAGTTCATTTAGCCGTAAGATATCAGTTTTATTTCCTCCACTAATAATTCTTTGTCTCTCTTCAGCTACATCATCATCTTCATCTACAATGGGCTCCTTAGAGGGTTCGCCAATCCTAGAGGAAGTAAAGCGGACAGGATTGGGCTGGTGTACAGCGTCCTTGACACTGTCCTTTTCATCTTACTTTCTTCCCATTTCCTCACCTTTCCCTCAGTCTGGCCTTCCACCCCCTATGGCTTGAATTCTCCAAAGGACTCCCACCAGGAGAAGCAACAGGCATTAGGCAGAGAGGGCAAGTGCTCACATCCAGAGTCAGCCCTGGGTTCTGTCCTGGCCTCCTCATATGTGGCCTTGGGTGCGTCACTGAACCTCTCTAAACCTCACCTCCTTCCACCATAAGATAGTGAGGAGATGATAGTGTCTACCCATAGGATTATGGTGAAGATGAGCTTGGCATGGTGTCTGCACAGCATCAAGACTGAAAACCTGGTAGCTGTAATCATTACTAAAACACTTCATCCGCAGTAAGCACTCAGTAAACGACAGTTACTAGCAACCAAGCTTCCTACTTCCTCCAGCCCATCAGGTCACCCCATCCCCCCAATCCTTTCATGGTTCTCCATCAGCTGTAGCTTAAAGCCCCAACCTCTCAGCTGGAATCCCAGAGCTGTGCAAAGGCCCCACCTCCCCTTTCCACCTGCTCTCTCACTTAGTTCTTGAACTAACTCCTCCACCAACCATTTGATCTACCCCTGGTCCCCAGCCCATGCTGGCCTTTCCCAACTCCCAGCCTCTGCAGGGATTTCCAGGCCCTCAATGTTCTCTTCTTCCTGCCTGCCAAAGGGAACCCTCCCCATCCTTAAAGACACAGCCTCTAAAACCTTCCCTGACCACCTTGGGCTACTGTCTTTCCTTCCTCCCTCACTGGTCACATCCAGTTCATCACCAAGTCTTGTCTAACAAACTTCTTACTATTTATCCAATCAACTTATTTTTCTCCATTTTCCAATGGCCCCACTCCTCTCCAGGTCACCATTGTCTCTTGCCTGGGGGCCAAAATGGGCTCTCATCTAGTCTCTCTGCTTCTAGCCCTGGCAGATCATGTCATTCCCCTGATTACAACACCTCAACATGGGGCCAGCCCTGTGGCCAAGTGGTTAAGTTCACCACCCCAGGGTTCACTGGTTCGGATCCTGGGGACAGACCTACACACTGCTCATCCAGCCATGCTGTGGCGGTGTCCCACATAGAGGAGCTAAAATGACCTACAACTAGGATATACGACTATGTACTGGGGCCTTGGGGAGAAAAAAAAAAGGGAGATTGGCAACAGATGTTAGCTCAGGGCCAATCTTCCTCACCAAAAAGCATACTTTAACACAAAAAAACAAACAAACAAGAACACCCCAACATGGATGGACCCTGAGGGTATTATGCTAAGTGAAATAAGTCAGACAGAGAAAGACAAATACCGTATGATTTCACTCATATGTGGAAGATAAACAAACAAGGAGAAGAGATTACTGGTTACCAGAGGAGAAGGGGTGAAGGGAGGGTGAAAGGGGTAAAGGAACACATATGCATGGTAATGGATAAAAACTATTGGTGGTGAACACGATTCAGCCTATACAGAAACTGACATATAATAATGTACACCTGAAATTTACACAACTTTATAAGCCAATATGACCTCAATAAAACAAACAAAAATACAAAACAAAAAACACCCAATAGCTCCCTGCGGCCCTCACACTAAGTCCCAAGTCCTTGTCAAGGTGAGGAGGCATTTCATGACCTGGCTCTACCCACCTCTCTAGGCTCATCTCTAGTCCCCGTTCACCCTCATTTTTCACAGCCATCCTGAACTCCCTCCACGCAGGCTGTGTCCTCTACCAAGGGCATCCTTTCTCCCTCCCTTCCACTCTTTTTGCCTGGTTGCCTCTCAGTATGGGCATGGCTGCAAGCCTCTTGAAGCCAGAGATTGTGACATGCTTCTCTGGTCCTATTTTGGGCCTAATGCAGGTAGGACTCACTCGGTCGTGTTGACATCCGAGTTTGAAGCTAATAAGTCTGTTTTGGTAAAAAACTTTCTCCCCTCCCCGCCCCCAAAGCTGCAGAGGGGGACCTTCAAGGAAAGAGGGTCCCAAGGACCACAGTTCCTCACACCGTCTCCCATAACTAGAACTCCCTGGTCATGTGTTTTCTTCAAAGAGTGTTGACACCATCATCTCCTTCAATCCTCACAAGCCTGTGGGTAAGGAGGTGGATTTGCTTCCCATAACTCAATTCCCTGTGGATCAAAACCTAGAAACAAGCCCTTTGAATCTTTATTTACATGTGACCAGACTCAGCCTGAGAAGGTGAAAAGAGAAGAAACAAACCACTGTCCAAGAAAGCTTGTTATGAGTGCCCAGCGATTGGCAATTCAGTCCCCTGGGCTGAGCTCGGAAAAGGTCAACCTAGATTGCAGAGGGTCTGCCTTGTAGAAACCCCAGCGCCCACCTCAGAATGAGGCAGGGCAAGAGCCTGGGGAAGAATGGCCCTGCGGCTGGGGCCATGGACACTGACCCGGCAGTAGAGGATACCTGGTCAAGAGTTAGGGTTGGTGGCTGGCTACTACCTCCTCCATCTCTGTGATCATTGCCCTTCCCCCTCCACAGTGCCCCTGGCTGCACTCACCTTGAACATCACCCCCATTTTACTCCCTTCCTTCTTGCCCTGCCCCTACTTTGAAATCTCTCATTAGCAAAGGGGCCTATTTATGAACGCATAAATCCATTTCCTAGAACTGAGGATACCCCTTCCCCATTGTCTTTTGTGATGCTCTCACCCAATTTAAAATGAGCATCTGTTAATTAAATGAGAGGGATGGAGTATTAGTGATTGAAATTAATAACATTGTATTTTAAATATTTTAGAGTTCAGATTCTTCACAAATTCTAACTTGCCTATTTTAATGTGCCTCTCCTTCTTGCATCATGCAGAGCAAGCCAGTCTTTGGGAACATAAAAACAATCATGGATGGGGCTCATGAGAAAAGAGGCGACCGCTTGGATGTGAAGTCAAGTGCCTGGAGGGACACAGGAGCTGCCCTCGGCGCCCTCAGGGCAGCGGCACGAACATACCATTGTGTGAGGAAGAAATGGTACTGGATGAGGAGGGTCAGGAGGAAGTACACCACCCCTTCTGCTGCCATGGCAACCAGGTTCTTCCCAATCAGGTCCCACTGGAATGGATTTGAAGAGTGCTGCTCACCTGGGGATGGAAGTCACCGGAAAAACGACAGGAATTAAGCCCACCTCAGCTGCCCGTGAAGACCTGGTTACTACACTAGGTCCAGCAAGGGTTTAAGTGAGCGCTAAACCGGAGTCTCATGTTAGCTCCTCAAATCAGAATAACGAAGAGTCGAAGACCACCCTCCACCCCTCCTGTGGCTCCTTAGCCACGGAAACAGAGGCATCCTGATCCCTTCTCAGGGGCAGGACCATCCCAGACCAACCAGGTGCCCCCAGCCCCAGCCTTGGCTGCAGGTCTGATGTAGCCACTCCCGCTGCAGCCCTCCCAGCCTCAGAGGATCCAGGGTCACACTCCACAGCCTCGGCTGCCACGCACCAAATCGGGCATAGACGTCCGTCACGGCCTGGCTCAGTGCCAGGTCAATGAGGCCCCGACCCAGGCAGAAGTGGGGGAAGATAATGAGCAGCTTCCTCAGCACAGCATTGAAACTGAGCAGCGTCTGAAACACAGAAAAGCAGAATAGTCAGGAGGCCAACTCTGCCTGTCCCCTCCTGAGCAGGGTGGGGCCTGGATGCCCTGCCAGGGCAGGACCAGGGGGCCGGGGAAGGCCTGCAGACAAAGGGGGCTAGCAGCCAGACTGGCCACAGGAAGGATTTGTCAAGCAGATACGGAAGTCTTGGAATACTCATAGGAGGTACCTCAAACTAGGTGGTATTTTCTAAACATTCACTATGCTCAGCACTGTAGACAACTGTGAGGAACTTCCAGGTTACTTTTCTTAAGAGCCTGGGTGACTTTGTGGGCAACAGCAGGAGTCTGGACAAGAGCAGCCCTCCTGCTGTCCGCTTGGGGGCTCTCACTGCAGACTCACTTGAAATCACACAGCAGCCCTCCAGGGCGTTGGATGCCAGGAGATCAGCAGCTGCTGGGAGTGTGGCCTGGGCTCTCTTTCCTGGGGTGCAGCTGTGAGCTGTCACCGGGGACTGAGGCTCTTTCACTGGTTCTGTCTT